CCACCTCTATTCTCACCCGGGGTGAGAATAGTGCAGGCGAGTCTTGTCGGCTATTCTCACCCGGTGCGCGTTCACCAAATTTTGCGTTCACCCTAAACCACAGAATTCTACACTGTGATAACAGAAAAATTGTAGAATTCTGTGCCGTGAACAAACGTTCCATTACAACTGTAGCCTACTAAAAGCGTACAATTTTGTCTGTGGGCAGTGGAGAGAGAGAGAGAGAAAGAGAGAGAGGAGTAGCGCGAGAATTTCCGGGCAAAACAAAATGGCGACCCGCGTAGTTCGGCTCGATTCGAAAAGTTAAATAGCCGTAGCATCTTTGTAGACAACCAAATTAATTTATTTTTGTGTTTTAACATCATTTTTTAACTTTGTTTTGGTCAATTTGATCGTCCACACCGATAGACAGTATTTAGAAAGAGACAGAGAGAGAGAGAAGAGGGGAGGAGTTGATCTTGCGAGAACTTCCGGGCGGGTGAGAATCTAAGCCACTTTCCTAATACAAAGGTATTCTCTGTGCAGTTCTGTGTAGTGTGTCTCTGTGCTCTTTTTTTTCCTAGGCCTACTCAATCGTCTCAGTACTGTACTGTATGTCATGTTAGCACACCTGAGGGGGGTGAGAATAGCGAGACACAGCCTATATTATTGATGAGAATAGCCACTTCCAAAAAATAATGTAGCCTGCATCCTTTAAATATAAAGAAGTGTTATCAGAAAAAAAATCAGGGCCTCTATAGAAAGGAAGTGGCTATTCTCATCCGGGGTGAGAATAGAAAAAACGATCTACCTCTCACCCCGGGTGAGACTTGCAGCGTAGGCTATTCTCACGCGGTGCGAAACAAGACCTGCTTTTCCTCATTTTGGAATACTGTCTATCGGTGTGGATGATCAAATTGATAAAAGCCAAGAAAAAATTACGTTATAGCACAAAAGTAAGCTAATTTGATGGTCTTCAAAGATGCTATATGGCCATTTCACTGTTCGAATCGAGCCGAACTACGCGGGTCGCCATTTTGTTTTGCCCGGAAGTTCTCGCAAGATCTATTCCTCCCCTCTCTCTCTGTCTCTTTCTGAATACTGTGTATCGGTGTGGACGATCAAATTGACCAAAACAAAGTTAAAAAATGATGTTAAAACACAAAAGTAAATTAATTTGGTTGTCTACAAAGATGCTACGGCTATTTAACTTTTCGAATCGAGCCGAACTACGCGGGTCGCCATTTTGTTTTGCCCGGAAGTTCTCGCAAGATCTATTCCTCCCCTCTCTCTCTGTCTCTTTCTGAATACTGTGTATCGGTGTGGACGATCAAATTGACCAAAACAAAGTTAAAAAATGATGTTAAAACACAAAAGTAAATTAATTTGGTTGTCTACAAAGATGCTACGGCTATTTAACTTTTCGAATCGAGCCGAACTACGCGGGTCACCATTTTGTTTTGCCCGGAAATTCTCACGCTACTCCTCTCTCTTTCTCTTTCTCTCTCTCTCTCTCCACTGCCCACATACAAAATTGTACGCTTTTAGTAGGCTACAGTTGTAATGGAACGTTTGTTCACGGCACAGAATTGTACAATTTTTCTGTTATCACAGTGTAGAATTCTGTGGTTTAGGGTGAATGCAAAATTTGTTGGCCTAGATCTAGGCTATAACAGTGAACGCGCACCGGGTGAGAATAGCCAAAAGACTAGCCTGCACTATTCTCATCCCGGGTGAGAATAGAGGTGGCCCTATAGAAAAGGTCCAAATCCCGTTGTACATGTCCGATTTCCTTTTCCATGTATTTTTGCCTCCTGATTGATACAGGAAATATAACTTAAAACTTTTGCAAATGTATGGTTTTTGAGATATAATTAAATTCCCAAAAGTTCTCAGCACACTAAAAAAACTGTAAAATAGTGCCAAAAAATAGATCTAGATATAGATCTAGTCTATAATGGGATGGGACCTTTTCTATAAAGTTCATTGTCAATTGCCTCCGAGTGACGCGGTGGCAATTGACAAAAATTGACTTTTTGTCAATTGCCACCGAGTAAATTGGAGCTCTTTTGTGTTGGTGAGTGGGTAGATCTAGCTTATTGTGCTCGGTGTTGTGCGT